ATGCATAGACAGCAGAAAAAGATAATTTGTTCACATATGTAGGTTACAAGTGTCTTGATTTGTAAAAGTATCTCATTTTCATGTGTAGAATTTTTGAATACAAAGAATAATACAAATACTGATCATTCGTATTTTTTATAAATTGTTGAAACTTCTATATCAGGTATTGTGTATTCACGTACTAAATATAATTAGTTAGTTTATCTCAATATACAAAAATCTTATTCTTAATAACCCGTGATTTGGTTTGAACAAAAATACTACCATTTGATTCATTTCAACTAGATAAATCAAATAGTAGTATTTTTGCTCAAATCAGCAAATTTAAAATATAATACCTTGATGCTTCAATGATCTGATTCATTTTGTCGAGCTGAATCGAATGGTAGTATTTTATAAGAATCAGATCACTGGACATTAAGATATTATCACTACCTCATCTGTTACTAAAGGAAATGAGTTCAAGATCTCAGTTTTAAAAGTATTGAATTGAATGTCACAGAGTGCGATGAGATATTCATTTATTTTACAAGTAATTATTTAGTTGTTATGCATCTGAAGTTATGTTGCCACTAGAGTGATATGATAACAAAAAACTAGAAGCACATTATGATCACTGTGAGGGATTATTAGTCAAGTAATCGCACCTGTGAACATTCTTTTTTTTTATCTTATCACCTAAAAGCTTTGAGCAGAAGTTGTAGTGAATAGAATACATGAATAAATAACTCACGTTCAACTCTGGGGTATTTACTTTGATGATAATAATAATATTTACTTATAAAATCTTTTATACTTATCATATAGGATGTCAGATGGAGATGGTGGTGTGAACTTATTTGGAAATTATAATAGTTATACGCTTTTAGTCCAGTACAAAAATTATTCAATGACAAAAGTTGGCACCAATGATATCGATGTCTTTGAAGGAGTGCTGTTAAGATACGAGAAGGGCAATGTGTTGGGAATCTTTATAACCTCAATTCTCAATAATTATTCATTGAATGCTATAGACAAGGCAGATTCATCAAATCATAATTTATTACTTATGAACATAATAGATATGCATTATGATATTTCCAGTTACCAGTTCAAAAAATCAAATGAATTATTGATGAAAGAAATGAAAGAAGGAGTGAAAAAAATGATGAAAGAAATGAAAGAAATGAAAGTAATGTTTGAGAAACAAAAAGAACAATATAAAATCAAGGCATTGTTATCAGAAATATAAAAAAAAGTCAAAATAGATTTAGTAATTATCAAATTAGAACAGCAGATCTTCTAAATATATGTTTTCATGCAATAATTTTTTTATTTATTTGTTCAATTATAATTATATTAATAAAATATTTATAATATAAAATATTGCTTGAAATATCTATTGAATTGATATCAAGAATTAAATTTTGAAAGCTTCTTAATATTGTATATGTACTTGTGAAAGATGAATTAATTGATAGGGTAATCATTTATAATTGATTGTAATTGATTGTAAATGATTATAATCGATTGTAATTACTGCAGATTGATAAACAATAAGTAATCGATTATAATAAATAATCATTTATCATTGATTATTAATTATTGATGAGAATTAATTATTGATTGTAATCAATTATTCATTATCTATCGATCTGCAGTGATTATAATTAATTGTAATTGTTTACAATCAATTACAATCGATTAAATAAAATCAATGATCATTGATTATAGATGTTTACCAATTCTAAACAAAAAATTGATTATATTCGATTTTAATAATTATCGATTATATCTGATTGCAATCGATTATAATTAATTATTAACAATCAATGATAATTGATTATTGGATAATAATTGATTATAATCAGATATAAAAATTTCCTAATGAACTGAAACAGTAGAACAATATTCTACTGCTGTAAGAGAATTACTTTACTGTATTAATTCAGATAATAGATATCCAGAATAGTGTTCTTATAAACTGAACTGAACCAAACTTTGGCTTGTGTTCAAGAAAGTTCAAAGTTTGAACTGAACTCAAACCAGACTTTCATTAGAGTTTAAGTATGATTCAATGTTTGAACTGAACTCAAACTGGACTTTCATTTGAGTTCAAGTAAGATTCAATATTTAAACCAAACTTTATTCAAGTACAATATTTGAATTGAACATGAATTAGAATCAGACTTTTAGGTGAGTTCATGAAAATTCATACCAGATCTTTGAATTAACTTATAATTTTTAAGCTTTATCAGTTTTTTTAGCTGAATTCAAAATTAAGTTAGTTTTGCAGTTTCTAGTAATTAATATATAGTTTAAAATTATTTATAATGTACCAAAGCATAACATGTCAAAATTATAATATTTTTATTTTTCAGAAATATAAATTATTTAGAAAATATAAAAAAATATAAAATAATATTTATTTTATTTATGGAATCATTTTTCAAATCGAAGTTGTACTATACCTTCCAAATCAATATTTCCTTCTTTTTCATACCATTCATTTTTGCTATCATTCCACATATCTTCAGTTTCACTTTCTTTTTCATCATCTTCATTTGTAGCCTCATCCTCCTTACTTTCAATCACACTTTCCTCTTTATTGAACTCATCCTTCACTTCTGCTATCTCACTCTTCACCTTCTGCTGCCTCATCCTTCTCACCATTGATTACATCCTTCCCAATAGCTTCTTCACTCTTCTTATTTGCTACCTCACCCTTTTTTTTATTAATAGTCTTCTTTTTTTTGTTTTTCTGCTTTCAAAAAAGATGCAAGCACTTTGGGTTGCTCTCTGAGTAGGGTTCCGAAAAAAAGTCTGGTTCAGTTCGAGTCTGATTCAGTTCAAGCTTGAACCAGACTCAAATCTGACGAAAAGTTCAGTTCGAAAATTCGAATCTAGAGATGGCGCAGCAAGTATGTGATGCTTATTTGTCACCCATTGCAACACGTTGCAACTCCAAAATTTTATAAGCTGCAACTAGTTGCAACTAGGTGATGCTTTATTTGTCACCACGTTGCAACAGTTGCCACGCCATCTTTATTGTCAATCATCCACTTTCATCATTTATATCTCTCTTATTTAAAATCTGCTAAGAACACAGTCACTGTTAATCATTTCTAAATATTCTTATATGTAAGAACTAGAAATGGTAACAATACATAGTATATTTATATAAATTATATATTATATAATATAATTAATTCTATTATTGTTGTCACTAATTTAATTAAATACAAGTATTATCAGTATTTTTGATATTATTAATACAAGCATTAATGTCATTGTTGTCATTAATACAAATATTATTAGTATTACTGGTATTGCTTGTATTAACACAAATCTAAGAACCAATAATATCTAATATATAATTATCCAATAAAATAATAACTATCTAAAAATAACTATTCAATAAAAAACTACTAAATATAATCCAATAATAATTAATATATTTGTTGTTCAATAAAATTATTTGTCAAATATTATATCATGATAATATAAATATAGTAAAAAAAATCACTTTATAGTCACATTCTCTTTATAATCATTAAATTTTGCTTTTCTAAAAATGGTGATTATAGAGAAGTTTAATTGTATTTGAGTCAAAATATGAGTTAAAATATAAGTTAGATAATTTGAATCAAGTAATTTATAATAGTTCACACATGTAATAAAATATGAAATTAACTTAATATAATTTTTATTTCTATGACTATTAGTTTGAATAAAATAAAAGTATTTATTTGAAATCTTGAAATCACTAATATTTTTTAAAAATAATTTAGCAACAAATTATTTTGTAAAATAAAGTGATTTAAATTAAAATTTATATTTAATAACTTTTTTATATTGAAAAACTTTTTTCTATAATGAATTCAAATTTGGATCACTAATTAAAAATGTTCTACTTTATATTTACTAATTTTTATAAAATTATTACAAAATTTACTAAGATTTGAGACTTTTAAGAATTGAATTTATATTATAAGTATTAATTTATGTATTAATACTTCTAGTATAGATTCAGTTTTAGAATCTTAAATATAAGCTAATTTTTATAAAAATTATTAAATAAATAAATTTCATAAAATGAAACATTTTCAATTAGTAATCCAAATTTATAAAAAAAAGTTCTTTAATATAAAAAATATACTAAATGTAAATTTTGATTTAATCACTTTATTTCACAAAATAATTTGTTATTAAATTATTTTTAAAAAATATTAATAGTTTTAAAATTTCAAATACTTTTTTATTTTGTTCAAACTAATAGCCATGAAAATAAAAATTCTAGTAAATTAATTTTGTGTTCTATTATATATGTGAATCACTATATAACTCAAGTCAAACTTGACTCGATTTAAAATAATCACAGTTTACTTATATTTCAGAATTTTAATCAAACAATCAAAAATATATATTAGCTCAAAATGATTATATATTATAATTATATATATATTATTTCTATTTGATATATCAAATCTTTATTTAATTATATTATTAACTGATAAAAAATTATATTTATTATTATAATTAGATTTAATAGTTTTTTATCTGATTTTATTTAAATTTAATATTTATAATTCAATTATAAAAATAATTTTTTATCAGATTTTTATCAAAATCTAGTATTTAATTATTTATAATTTGATTTAAAAATAGTTTTTTATCAAATTTTATTTAAATTTAGTATTTAACCATTTATAATTTGATTATAAAAATGATTTTTTGTTTAAATCTATATTTAATCATTTTTAATTTAATTATAAAAATAAATTTTAGCTGAATTTGAACAAAAAATCAAATTTTTAACAGATTTTTTATTGATGCAGACAAGTAGCTTTAGTTAATTGAAATATTATTATTAAAATTATTAATTAATATTTTGTTATAGATTAATCTTTTAATATTTTTGTTATATTAAATTATTTAAAATTTTTTAATTAAAAAATTATAATTTCTTTTTTGTAAAAAGAACAAAGTAAAAGAATCTTTATTATTTTTGTTATTTGTTAATTCTGAAATGTTTAATAACTAATACAAAGAATTAAAATATTATTTATTAGTAAATTAAAATATTTTGCTTAGTTAATGTAGCTAATTAGAATACTATATATAATTAAACTTTATTATTTCATCTTTTCTATATTTATTTTTCTTTTAAACTATAATAATTTTAATAAAAATTAATATAAAATTTAAATATATATTTTTTATTATTCTTATATTTATTTAATTTTCTTTTTCAATTTCTGTTTATATTTATTAGCTAATTTTATAATTAGTAAAAAATATATAACAATATCATAACTAAAATAAATTAAAATTATAATAATTAAAAATATTTTTCAAATTTATATAACTTTTTGAATATTTATTCTAAATATTAATCATCTTATATTAATTTGTAACTCTGATTAAGATCTATAACTTTACTTAGAACTACATTAAATATTTACTTGAACTCAAATCAAATTTGAATCAGGTTTAAAGTTTAAACTGAACTTGAATCAAATTTTAATTGAATTCAAATTTTTGAATTAGATTTTGATCAGATTTGAATTTGGTTTAAGTTCAAACCAGATTTTTTTCAGAATACTACTTGATTTTATATAAAAAATTATTTTATTAATGAATTACAAAAAAAAATATATTTTACTTTTAAAATTTAATATAATTAAATTTCTCTATAATCATTACTTTTAGAAAAGCAAAATTTGGTGATTATAGTAATAATGTAATTATAAAAATATTATTTTTATTATATTTATATATAAATGAAAAAGAAAAATAAGATAATTATAAAAAAATATAACTATAAACAAATATAATTATAAAGAGAATTTTCTTATAATAATTACTTATTATAATAAAAAAAACAAAAAAATTATATTTGTATTAATTATAAAAAATCCAACAATATTACTAAAAAAATAATTATTTATTATTACATATTGGTAACATACTAAAAACTATCTAGTTTTCAATAATTCTCTTGACAAGCAGATTTTGGCAAGTAAATCTAATCCAACTACAAAAAAAACAATATTCATTACTAAGTTTGAAATATACAAATTTGAAATAATACTCTTTGAACTTTGTAATACACCAGCTACTTTTTAATAATTAATAAGAAAAGCTTTAAGTAATATTCTCTAGAAATTTGTAGTCATATATGTAAATAATATAACATTTCAATTATTTAAAAGATTTAGAAAGTATGGATTAAAGCTTAAATCTTTTCTTGATGTCAGGAAGAAACTTATTAGTTTACCTTTTTTATTAGTGTTTTTGAAATGATCTCTTTACATTATTGTATTTTAGATTTGGCTTTATAATCCTACTTAGAATTAATACTTTAAAAAAAAATAGTAGGGATTTTACGGAAGTTAAAAAACATTTGATCGTTTTACCTTTTTATTAATATTTTCGAAATGATCTCTATCACTATATTGTTGTTGTCTAGATTTCACTTTATAATCCTACTAAATTTTGCTTACTACGTATTAATGAGGGAACAAAAAAAGTTGGATTTTGGCGTATATCAAAGTAATCATTGCAGATCTTTATTATCAACCAAATTTATAGTGATAAAAATCATGCGGATAGAAATTCCGACATAACATTTGAGAACAATATTATCTATAAAGCGAGTATTTTGATAATATAGGATCTAAGCAAGACCGTTAATATTTCATTATTATTACATCCTTTTTTCGTAGTCAGAAATCTTGAGCAAGATAAAACTGTATCTATTATGAATAAATAGTAGGATAGAATAGTATGGATCCACGCGTTGAATACATCTCCGGAATGTGGGATGTTCTGATCAAATTTTCCTTATGAAGACACGAACCATCACAATTTTGAGATTATGGCGATCAGCAAATTATCTACAGAAGGGGACATTGATGAAGTAGTAGTTTGATGCGTTTAATTTTCTCAAAGTAAGGATGCAGAATTTTGAGCAAGTTGTTCTTTGGCACGATCAGCACGATCGATCAGTCCTTGAGTGAATTTTACTGCATCTCTTCGTTTCTGTCGAGCTACCTGAAAATCTGGCGGACAATCAACTGAATCGAGAGATAAAAGTGATTGCATAAGATTTTCGACAATTAGGTGATGAGTTTCAGTCAATTTCTGATGAACTTTGGTTTCTTGATGATTATTAGGCGAGATATAACTAGAAACTTGAATCTCAAATGATTCAATCTGTGGTAATGAAGTGGCACGTATCTTTTCAACTGAAGCAGATATACGTGATATAAGAGCATGTTCTTCAGGTGACCCAGATGAAGTTTCGGCAAGTTGAGTTTTCTGTTTAAAGAAGATTATATTTAGTCATTAATCGAATTACTATTATTCGCGATACTTTCACTCACGTCAGGCTTAGATCCGATTAACAGTATTTTAGAAGCTGCGTGAATTCCAAGTGATGATAGACTTGAATTTTCATCTTTCATTATGGCTTTAAAGAAAAAAATTCACGTTATTCTTATAACAACATTATTGTTACTTGAACTTTAATTGCAGAAAACTTACCACCGGATAACACCAATTTTTGTCCATTTAATGGCACACCCGTAATCGATTTTAGTCTCTCTTTTAATTCTTTTAAAGTTGTTTCCTCCAGCGATCCTGAGCCTTCTTTCTCGAACCCTATGTGAAACTTTTCTCTACCCCAGCTCACGATAATCTCGGGCTTATGATCTTTCCTCGAAGAGTTTTGGTTTTTGGAGTTATGCTTTTGGAAAATGAAGGGCAAAAATGACTCTAAAGTGCTGGTTACCCTACCTTCCATTCTGTTTGAAAATAGAGAAAATATATAGAGTTTGAAGAATCGCCAGAGGAAAACAATCGGTAGTGCAATGTCGGCGTAAATGATGAAGAGGTTGTATAATTTAGAATAAAAAACAAAATAAGCCCATAGTTTAGAAATGACTTTGGTCCTTGTAAACGATAACACGCTCTTTTATTGACAAAGAAAATCAAATCAAAAAGCGCTTGGTGAATATGGCAAATTAATTATGTAAAGGCAGAAAAGTTGTACCACTAATTTTGCCGGATTTCAATCATTAAGTAGGTGAGACTAAGATGATCAAACATATAATATTTTCGCGCTTTAACGTTAACAACGGCACACAAATATGGCAGCAAGGGGAGGAATCAACGCGAAAGGAGAATCTGCTCCACAACCTGTTAAAGTTCAACGATACTGGCCTGGAAAGGTACCCGAAGGTGCTAAAGATTATTCATCAGAGGAAGATGAGGAGGAGCAACAGCAATTTGAAAGACAGAAAGAACGTGAATTGATAAGTAGCATTCAACGAGTTGACTTCTCAGAACGAGAAGTTGCTTCTGATCGTAGGCTGCAGAGGCTAAAAGAAGCTAGGGAGGATGCTTCTTTTCAACCTATAGATAGACGACGTCGACACGAAGTTAAGGCAGAAACATCAGAAATACATATTAATGAAGAGGATACCTCGCAAGATGTTGAGGAAGACGAAAATGACATTGCGCTTCGTCGCAAGCACATAAGAAATCGAGCAATAGAGCAGCGGCGGATAGAGGAAGAAAAGCTTAAGGCAGAGGAAGAAGCCGAGAGAACATTATCAGAAGACAAAGAAGAGGTTTGTCTATCTTGACAAGCGTATCGTTCAAAATACAAATGCTTACTATGTTATAACGAATTGATATTAAAAGAGTGAGAGTGAATATACAACTGAATATGAGACGGAAAGTGACGATGAAGAAGAAGATTTAACGACGAGACAATTAAAAAAACCAGTATTTATACCAAAGTACATGATTGGAATATTACGAAGAGTATTTTTTTATTTCTAAATCACAAATAATTTCTAATAGAACACCAATAATCTCATCATAGAGCACATCGAGAAACTGTTTTAGAAAAAGAACGGTTGGAAAAGGAGGCTGAGGAGGCTGAAAGAAAAAAAATAGAAGAGATTGAAAATCGTAAAAAGGAAACACATGCAATACTAGCTGAAAAAATTCAAAAAGACATGTTGAATGAAGGTAAAGAAAATATTTGAAAGCTTTATATTTCTCGGCTGATCAATTGTTTCGAAATTATTAAAAATCAATTATTTATGCAGTGAAAGAAGAGTCAAGTGTATTAAAGGAGGTTGATGATACTGATGGAATTGATGAACAAGCTGAATACGAAGCTTGGAAACTTCGGGAATTAAAAAGAATAAAAAGAGACAAGGAAGAACGTAGAGCGTAAATATTAATAATTAATCATCATGACACAATTGAATGGTTGGTTCATATTAATTATTATTTTCGATATGAAGGAGAGAAAAGGAACAAGAGGAAATTGAACGTAGACGAAATATGAGTGAAGAACAACGCCTGAAAGAAGATATGGAACGAGTGAGAAAACAACAAGAAGAAAAACCAAAAGGAAAATATAAATTTCTGCAAAAATATTATCATAAAGGAGCCTTTTATTTGGTATATTTTTTTATTTGATAGGTTTTGAATTATATCAACGAAAATATGAATATGTTTTCATAATGTATTTTATTAGGATCCCAGTGAATCTATTTATAAACGTGATTACACAGAAGCAACTCCTGACGAAACGGGTATTCTATATGAATTTTTTCTGAATAGATCAATGTATTCCTTTCTTTTATTTATTTATTGATTGATTGATTGATTGATTCAACATGGGGATTTTAGCACACAAGGAATTATTACCTAAAGTGATGCAAGTGAAAAATTTTGGTCGTGCTGGACAAACTAAGTGGACTCATTTGGCCGATCAAGATACATCAAAGGTCAAATATTCTTTAAATATTACGAATTTCATCATTTATTTGCTGATATTTTTCTTTTATGCAGAAAGATTCTGCTTGGTCTCAGAAAAGCGATATCAACAAACGTTCTCTGCATAAACTTGCTGGTTTACATCACGGAGGTTTTGATAAACCAACAGCGAAAAAACGTAAATTTTAAATTATAGTCGGCGATAATTAATTAGATAATAAAGTAGATTAATTTTGCCCGTAAGTTCCGATTCTTTTATTTTATTCGTTTGTTTAAATGGAATCGATATACTTGCCACTTATATTTTGAAATAAACAGGAAAATGATTCTCATAAGATAATTAACACTTTTTGTTATCGTTAAAGTGAGCTATAAATTTATCTATTAAAGAGTAGAAACTTTTAACTCATGGGGTGATCCAAGATAATGATGTATCAATAATTCAAGCCAGGTAGGCTTTAGTTTCTAAAATAATGATTTGATGATAATTATTGATCTAAAGATATTCGGTATTAATTGAATAGATCACCGAATTCTGTCCTGATCCCGATTTGGATTACTGGTCCTGAATATAATATATATAACTTTATTCAAATTAAATCTTATGCTATTTAATATGTCAAAAATTAACAAATATAGAAAGTGAATAATTACGCAAGTAATTATAAAAAATTGAGGTAAAAACTTTCTAGACGTTATTTGTTAATATACACACGTGGATTCAAGTCATATTAAATATATGATTCGTCATATTGACTTCATGCCATCGTGTACTGATAGCATGTATGCGCCTCTTAAGTACGTTTTTAACTATCGCGTGGCCCAATAATAATACTACCGCACAGGGTCTTTTTTTATCGTCTAATTGAAAAAAGGAAAGTGTTCACCAAGTCGTTATATAAATAAATGTTAAGTCTAAATAATTGTTTAGTTATTGTAAAGATGTTCGGTGGATTTGGTCGTCGGTACAATAACAGATACCAAATAGCATTCATTCATACCCATTCATAATTCATTCTATCACTGATAAACGGAACACAAACACAGAACACAACAAAGCCGCCGAAGAAATTATTGATGATGATGCATAATAATGAAGACCACAATAACAATGAATATCATATCTTTACTTATGTGGTAGAGAAATCAAATAATTGCATTGTTAGAGGTTTCAGATCTTTATTTAAATTTGTCTTGCGAATACAATTGTAATACTTTAAGCTTTGCCCTCTTTCACATTAGCATATGATGATATGTTATCCGATGAACTTCTCCAGATGGATAGATAACGAGGGAAGGCGTTCTCTCCGATCATCAAGTATAATAAGAATCTTGCCCGTCATGGGAATGTGTGTAGCTTGACTGTTCCTGCTACTCCCACTCCTAGGGTTCTGTGTAATTCGTCTTGTCAAATATGCATATATATGTAAATATAAAAATACGTTTTTGTATACTCTTTATTTCCCCAACAACGACAAGAACGAAAATTTATTTCCCTATCAATATCGATATCTCGTGAAAATTTAATCTATATTAACCCCTTTGCAGTGTGTTGCCCCTTATTTCTCGATTGAATTGACAGACCCCTTTATTTTTTTGTGAAATTACGATATTAATCAAAACGAATTTTTTGTGTTCAAGTGAATTTACGCAACTGAATTTTTGGATTTATCAATTGAAAAGAATAAATAAATAAATACAGAATTCATTCTTCAGAAAATAAGCATGTTTCATGCGCTAAGTCAGGGCGACGAATTAGATAATCGTTGGGAAGGTAATTTTAAACTAGAGCGTCTACCAACACTAATAAGCTCAGAACCTCACTTCTATCTATCTCTCTATACTCTCGTTTCTTAGACCATAGTCCACATGAAGTGAATGAAAGAACTTTCTTACTGCCTGATCTGCATAATTCAAGTGAGCGTACTGAAACTCTACGTATAAATTGGATTCAAAAAACATGGAAAAGAGCATTAATCTTGAATGTCTTTCCCGTTTTGCTGGTTAGTAACAGGGAGGAATTATGCTATTCTCGTGTTAAGATTATTATTAATTATTATGATTTAAAGGTTATTTTATGGGTATCAGTTCCATTTCCCTCATACGATCCAAATCCTACATCCGATGAAGATAGCGCTGTTGTTTGGAGTAGCAATGACAGCAGCATAGTTAATTTCAATTCATCAACATCGTCAATAACATCATCAATACCAAGTATTGGTATTGTCATGCCAATCATCTCGAATACATCACTCACGCATCTTCCATCAACGCCACATTTGCCACCTGTCGAAATTAATTTTTGGTATTTCTTGTTCGTTTACTATGGAATATACAATGCAATCGCTTTGTTGTTGATCACTAAAATATTTGATCTTTATTCGTTGAACTGGTGGCCAAAATGGTTGGGTGGTGTATTCGCATACACCGTATTTTGGTTACTCTCCTTGACACTTGGAGTGTTTATTTATTTATTTACCGGATTGGAGAAATACACATTAACGTGGGTTCTACTTACTTTTCTGACAATGGCAATGCCTTTATTAGTGGCATTCATCGTAATTCGATCACAAAATCGAAACATTTATAGACATTCATTAACATTGGCACAAAAAACCTTTCTTGAAAGACAATTACAATATCGAATTCCATCCTCATATCTCCGTTTCTTATGGTTTTGCTCTGCATTATCAATCGCACTTTTTGCATTAATAGCTGGTGAAGGCTATGCCTATGTTTTTCTCTCTTCATTACCACATAATGGTTGGGACGGATTAATTTATGTGTACTCGTGGGTCGCAACAATTTACATTTTCGATTCACTCACCGATTACATCATCGAAACACGCATAAAATCATATCCATTATCATCCATCTTTAAACTTTATTTTTTCATGATCTACTTTATTTTCTATCGAAATCTTTTCGCACGATTACGTTCCTGGAACCAATTTTTCATTGTTCAACTGGCAAACATGTTGTGGGTCTGCATCTTCTATCCGTTATGCATGACACGGGTTGTATATATGGGTTTGGTTTATTTCGCGGGGGTCACGAAAACCTACGATCAATATAAGAAACACCTGGGACGATCGTTCTTTTTACGGAATCTCGCGGAAAACGCGACAATGCTGGGGTTCCTTTGCTGGGTTGTTATTCTTCATTTTGGACCGAACAAACGCGCGTATCCCTATTTCCAATTTGATGATGGAAATGAATATAATATTAATCTTACGGTTAAAGCAAGTTTCGGTGTGTGGATAAGTGAATTAACGAGCTCTTACATAACGCGACACATATTCCGAAGGGTTTTCAAGCATAGTGTTAGTGAGGAAGCGGTAAAAGATTTTGAGATGTATCCGGAAACGATCGTGACTATGATTCTCGTAATTATTCACGTATTACAGGTAATTTACTATCATTATCAAATCAATTAATCTCGATTTTTTGCCGTATAATAATTAATTCCAATCGTTTTAACTAATTTATTAGGATATGTTATTAGCCACGCTCAAACTTAATTTTGAAGGTGGAAATTCCGCCATGCCTGTTCCCCATGCATAATGTTATTATTAAGCTTTTACCCTTCCTAATCCTTACTACTATCCAATCCAAATCCCCAACCTCCATTTTTGAACATTCCAAATATCAAAAGAAAATTCGGGAAAGTATTTTTTATTATGTATTTAATCAATCATTATTTATTTCTGTTATTTATTATAAGAGATGTACTCTACTGCTTCTTAGACAGTACTTTCCTGCGTCTCGTTTTTTTTTCACAAAAAACCGAGTATTTATTTTTTTCTCTATTAAACTTTGATTTTGCTAAACTTCATACCAACCCACCCTCCACCCTTCACACTTCATTCATCATTTTCATCACTTCAAAATAGAGTTTTTCTTGTATAAAGTCATCATCATCTGTTAGCTTACTCTGTTACATATATAAATATTACAGATATATGTATGTGTATATATATCTATATATAGAATAATAATAATGGCATGGAATAAATGGGAACAATCAAACAATCAGAAACACACGTATATACACACGGGAAATTTGGCGGGCGTGCATAATAAAATAACACAACCTTCCTTTTACTTTTTTCTGCATCATTCATTCACCAAAAAGAATTATTATTATCCTCTTCAATATGTACTTTATTATTAGACAATGTTCTGGAAATGAAATCCAATTATTGATCTTGCTTAATAAAGCGATAAAATCATTTTTTTAGATGGCTGTTTTTTACGAGCCTTGGCATCTTCAAGTGTTCAAGATTTATTTTCATGCGTGTGATCTCTTATTCTCATTCTTTTGCTTCATATAGTGATAATATGACATGCATATATATATATACATATACATACATGTATACGGGAAAAAGTGGATTCTGAAATTGGTATTCCGTTTCCAAAGCGATTTTCGATAATTGAGAAATAAAGTTTGGTGTGATACTGTTTATTATTGGTCTCTCCATCACTCTTGCACCCTCTTCTTCCAGGACTCTTTTCAATGCACCTTTATTATTGCCACTATTTGTAACATATGTTACTTTATATATTGGTGGATTCGGAATCCACTCACTTAGTGTGGATTTAGAATCTTTCAGCCAACACTAATCTTATCACCGGCACTAACCCTTACCTCTAGTCGTACCCTATCCTAATTTGGGCCGATTCCATATCCCGTTTCCACTTGCAGCATATATATGTAATTCGCTTGATTGCACCAAATTTCAACACCATCATGACACATCCCTGAATATGGCACCTGCTTATTGACTTAAATCTTTTGTAAGATCCCGAGTTTACTTAGGATCCCTGAGATATCACATATACTTGAACTTCATGACTTTTTACTACTAATTGACATATTTTGTCCAATAAGACATTACATAAAAGTAGTTCATTAATGTGAAATCAATACAAATCAATAACGATTATACTTACCAGTTGGTTTAAGAAAACTTCACATCATCTTTATTTTACTCATATTCACATCTGCCTCCGCCTTTGATATTATATATATCAGAACACTATGATATCTTCAGACCTTTTGTCAATTCGAGATGCATAGGTCTAAAAATGATAAAATTCGGATGTGAACGATACACGAATAGGATATCAGAACGTTCCGTCGCTCGATCTTCTACTGTTGACGATCAGTCAATTCTTGTGTTCTGCCAAAACGCTCGGATTTTTAACATAGGTGCAATGATTTAAATCTTATGTACCATATATATACATTTGACCATTTTTCATCATACAGAAAAGAAATAATTATTGTAAAAGCGAAGTTTTTTTTTATCAACAAAATTGTATAATAATGCCTTATAGAAGCAGATGTTAGCACATTAGATTCAATTATATCACTAGTATAACGGGAACAAACCTCTGATTTACATTTGTTAATTATGATACTGGTAATGTTTCTGATACACTAGCTTACTCTGAAAGCCTCAAGAGGTGGAAAAATTATTCAAAGAAAGTGCAGGTAATCCTATATATAACTTTTGTGGAGCTGTGGTTGTGGCACAAAGTGAATCAAAAATTTCGGGTCTGCAGCTTACTAAGAAAAAAATTTTAATAAGTAGCTCGGGATAATCTGTTTCGCACCATGTTTTGTATCGAACATAAAAATAATAATAAAAAGGGATTTACCTGAAATTTTTTATTTTTTACATGATGTATCAATACAATTTGCTGATTATTACATTTAGCTCTAATTTTTGTCTTACGATTAATTGATTAATAATTACTTGCAAAAAGTTGTTTTTCTTTTCGTTGATGATTAGATAGTAAAATAGTAGCATTAAAAAGAAGTGCTAGTAGCAGTAGTAGAAATAGTGAAAACAGGCTAAGATAATAATGGTAACGAAAGTCGATATGGTCGATGAAACCATGGTAGCAGCAGTAGTAATAGTAGTAATAGTAGTGAAAGTAATAAAAGTATTAATAATTACTCTTGTCATATTGAATTTAGGGCTTTTCGTCATTATTAGTCGTGCTAGCAGACAAAACAACGCCTTCCATTGGATCAATTCCATTATTGTCATTATGCTCGCTGTCCTCTTCCATTGGTTGATCATCTTGATTGATTTCAGTAATGATATCTTTGACTATAGCAGTAGTAATTGTTTGTACTTCCTGTTGTTGCTGTGGTTGTTTATTAATCAAAGAACTTTCTTCGGGTGGAGTAGGAGGTTGTGCTTTGTTATTATTATCAAGAGGTGTATTTAGGAGAGATTCATCTTCCATTGGGGGTTGTTCTTGTTGCTCTTTATTATCACTTTCAAGAGTTGATGTTCGGAGCGATTCATCTATTGTCGTAGATGGTTGTTCTATTGATTGTTGCTCTCTGCTTGTTTGAGGAGATTCATCATTAATTTTGTGTGTTACTGATGAATTATTAGTTGAATTTTCCACGGCTGCATTCGAAACAGAGTTTGCTGATGCTGTTGTTGCAGGTGGCAAACTTGTTAATAAAATCTTCCATTTTTTTATTAACTCTCCGCTTCGATATTTAATGTTGTGGCGGTCATCTTCTAAATGAAGTGAATGGATCTTTTTCATGAGTTTTCCTATTTTGCTTTCCTATATAACGTTTACGATATTATTGCGATGCGTAATTTTAATTAATAATGACATATCAAAACTGAAATTGGAATAGTGTATATTGCTAATATATAATTAATTACCTTGAGCAATTCAATGTTTATATCGAATTTTTCAACTTCGGTAAAGAGAGCATCGATTTTTCCCATATCCTGTAACATACATTACATTACAATTTTGAAAATTTTAAAAAAATTCATTAAATATAAGAAAAAAATACCTCAATATGCTCTTTGAGTGTTAATTTTTGGAGTTTATGTCGGAGGTGCAACAACTTAGCGCTTGGAGCTATAATAAATTTATAAATATTATATATTTAAGCGGAAAATTGAAAAAATATATTAAAATACATACTTTCAGCCTTGACAGGCTTAGTTTTAGAAGTCGTATTCGCGTCATTATCTCGTTTCGACTTTTCGTGTGAGCCATCGTGATTTTTAGCAAGTCGCTCGTCGTCTCCGTCAGCTGTAGCCGAGCCTAACTCGGAATTATTGGATGATCCCGAGGCTTCGCTTCGAGAAGCGTCTTTTGGAGGAGTATCCGTCTAGATTAATTTTATTAATACTTTCAGAATTCCCGAGATTCATTAATTTATTATAATATAAAAGAAAATAAAATACTCTGGCATCGTCATGATCAATGTTCATTTCATCTTCTTCGTCAGTATAATCAATCTTCCGCTGTTTACTTCGATTATGTTTTTTCAATTTTTCAACATCCTCATCGTCATCGTCAGCAACCTCTTCATTATTAGACGAACGCTTTCTACTTTTTATCGTTCCTCCATCTGAAGATGGGTGAGCAGCATCAGCAGTTTTAGGTTTTGACCTTGAAGATTTTGAGCTCGCGGATTTTCGTCGTTCGCCTGCAACTTTCTCTTGCTTTTGTGGATTTTTGCGTGATTTATCGCGAGAACTCGATTTTTTTGAAGTGATTGTGGACGTGATGCCGTTATTTTCAGAAGCTTTATCGGGCATTTTTTTATGAGTTTCTTCCTCTTCATTCGCGCGGTCTTCAGGTGACCCTTTTTCAGTATCATCATCTTTTTCGTCATCCTTTTTTTCCGGTTCGTCAAGGGAACTGGGATTGAGTGCCTCTCGAATAGCTTTTTCAAGAGGTTTATCTCGTTTTTTGCCTTTTAGCTTTTCGAGAAGTTCTAACGCCGCATTATTATCAAAAGGCTTCAAATCATTTTTACCGAACCAACCACTAGTAATAATAAATCGAGAAAAATACGGAAAGTTAATTAGAGCGCGTATATAAGTATAAAAAAAATAAAAATTCATTTTTGACGATGATTATCGTGTCATCATCTAACATTAAAAATGAATATAGAATAAATGACTTGATTTTTTAGAGACAAATATAGAAAGCTCTTTTTCTGGAGGATATGCCATCACAAGACAGAAAATTCATAGTGGCAATAGAAAAAAAATGGTTTTCGATATACTCACTAGTCTCTCGACCCAAAGAATCTTACGCCCCAAACTGGTCTAGGACCTTTTGGTTTTTTGGTAACTACCGTCGACGGCAAACTTGCCTCTAATTCAATCTAAGAAAAAATAGCGTGAGTAAAATAATAAAGCGGTCACCCCCTCCAATCACCCCGTTAAAATGACTCATTTCGCAAAGGTCTAATAACCATAACACCACTAGTAAACAAAAATGAATGCTTGATAAAGGGGGAAAAACTTACACGTGCAGGCCACCAAGGATAGCCTTTAAGTTTAGCATAAACAACAGTGCCAGGAGTATATTGATCCATACTCGTAGTCGTTGTCGTTCGTTCGTTCTTTCTTTTAATTCGCTCAATCAGAGTACAATAATGTCAATTTTCAACAAAGGGAATTTTTCACTTTTACTCGTCGCGAAAAAAGAATCGATATCGGAACAAACGTTATAACAAATATATACAAAGGCAAGAGGGTATTACTGCTGGTGCTGGTTAGTTTCGAGAGAGTGCGTGAAACTTGTTTCTTCGCGACAAACAACAGTAACTGTATCTTTATGATAGCTAGAGTGTGAGAACAAACAAAAAAATCAAAATAAACTTTTTTGACTCGTTACTTTTTATTGGTCCCTAAAACAGGTATATCTATCTATCTTTGAGCAAGGAACAAACTGTCTTTATTTCAAGGTGTAGTAAGGTATTTACCATAATCAGGCCCATGAATAAGGATTATTTTATATAAATCTTCAGATATCAACTACAAACACATGATTAGGTGATATTTACGAGAAGATTTTCCCAGGGAAAGGAGACAGCTTCCTGTTATTGGCCAGAATTGATATAATACCTTCTTTTGTGACATGCAAATTTGCATGTTAGTTTGTTCGAGCATGCCAACCAATAACGGCTCGGTTCGATGATCAACAACGAAATAATGCAAAGGTATGAGTCCTTATACACACAAAAATAAAAGAATCAAAACACGCACAATTTTTTTGCCAAAATGACCACACCCATACCAGGACCTTTAGGCCCAACTTTAGCCTCAACCATCGACCCAACTCGTTCCAAAGAATGTTTTTACATGGCCAACCTCGATTATCCTCGATATCCGACTTTGACTCCTGAAATGGCCACAGAAATGTTGACAAAGGCTATGAATTTGATTAATCAAATTGCATTCAGTTTCTTATACATTGATCGACCTGCTGGTAAGGGGGTTTTCGTTTTAAATCTAGGAGGTCATTGAATTAGCTCGTCAAATGGGTGCGGTTCGGTTTATTCATCAATATTGGTTGATGGAGCTTAGATGGTCAAGTCTATCTAATTTGTTTGCCACCTAATGACGAAGATTTACCACCTGATGGGTATGTTTCTTAATAATAATGGTGATTAGATTACTTAATCTTAATTTGTTCTTTCGATCTATCGATTGACTGTTCCTGAGAAAGAAATACTAAAGTACTTTTTTGGACGTGTAGTTTCCATTATCTTGAAGGTGAACAGTCTTACAAGACAACATTGCCAGATGGCCGGGTAAGAGAAAGGATGAGGGCAGGGGAATTATATAACAAGTAGTGACCAGTTGATTGTTAAAAATCAAGTTTAGAATCAATATTAAAAAAAATCAATAATCTTATCGTGATAATTTTTCTAAAAGGAACTGCTTTGTTTTGAAAGAAGAGGAGGATATGCACCAACCGATCAATTCACTTCAAAGCTTCGTCGGCGATATAGACTAAATGTCGGGAATGAGAATTTACAATTACTTCATTATGCACGACTCGAGGATAATCGTGAGTGATATAATGACTTTGTTTTTCAGTGTATATACTAAACCAATTACCCAATCTATAATTTAAATGAATTTATTCATTTATATTTTACTATAAGAACGTCAAATGTTGACACAAACTGGAGTTTTACGAACGCCTCCGCGAAAGTTTGTTCCTCCCATACCGGCAGTAAGCCCATATATCCGAGGACAGCAACAACAGCATTCACAACCGCAGCAACAAACTCCTATCCAATCACACGTACAGATGCCACAGCAAACACCGGTGCGAGCACCTAATCAGCTTCCAGCCGCCGCCACAATTTCCTCGTCATATATGCAATTTCCAACGCGCGCAACATCAGCATCATATGTGAGTCAGAAAGGGATTGTTAATAGTATGGCCGCCTCATCAAACATAAAGCCTGTTGCTACTAATAGACGAGGAAAATCCGCAAAGGTACGTGCGTGCACTTATGTGTGTGATTGGTGATAATCTTAGTATTTATGGGCAATTATTGGTTTATTTGCTCTTTTATAGAATAAAGCTGCTGCTGCTGCCGCTGCTGCTGAGGAAGCCGAAGAACCATCAGGCGGTAAAAAAAGAATTATTATAAATTGATGATTTTTTATGTGATAAGAGATTGTATCTTACTAATTCTGCTATGTTATTAAAGATGAGCTTGACAACATAAAGCCTCGAGAAATTTCTCTTGTTAGATATAAAAGGAACCACGATTACATTGAAGAGATCTTTTCTCCTCATAACACTAGTAACCTATTACTTGACTTTTGTATATTTTCGTTTTTTACATGTTTTTCATATTCATTATTACTATTTATCCGTTAAACAGACTCGATAAAGCTCGAACCTTCACCTTATGAATCGCTTAATATTGAGGAACGAAAAAAACAATTTGCAAGTACTAATATAGAAAAATATCATTTATTCATTAAACGCATTATATCTAAATATGTAATTCTCTAAATTTTTTATTGGATGATTTGTTTGACGTGTTTAGGCGGATAACGAAGCGGCGATCGAAACTCTTACCCATAGACACGCTCAAAAAATAAAACTGTTTAAAGAAAAAGCAGCGAACCTGTCTAAAAGTCTGAATATTATCAAGCATTCAAATAGTTTGGAGGTATTCACTAGTTTTAAATGATTTTTCTAATATAAATTGAGATTGTTAAATAATAAAATTAAATAAATAATAGGAACTGGAAAGACTACAGGAAAATGCGCGTAAAGACTTGGACATTGTCGCACAACCATGCAACAATGTCAGAATGGTAGAACTGGCCAACGTTCCAATGGAAGAGGAAGAGCTACAAGAGGCACAAGCACAGCAGGACATTACTAATTTAGTTTCAGCTCAACAGCAACAAAATGATATAATACAACCATTATTGCCACAACAAATGGAATTATCACAACTCGATCCTAGTGAACTTGTCCCTCCTTATGTACTTCAGCAGGGATTAGTTGTTGGAGGTAATGTGGTGCCTCCGAATGGAGACCTGCATGCCATGTTGGATGTTAGTTCTCTGACTGGGGATCCGGCACAACTTGTGTATGAGGAACTGGAAGTTTTGGCTTCGCATATTGGTGGTGGTGATGCACAAATGGAGGATTGAATCTGTTGTTAGTAGTAAAAGCAACATTTATAATAGTATAAGAGTGCAAGAAATGTTGAGGTTGCCGATACTACTTTTTTATGAACTTTGGGTATGTTTTAAATTATGATATTTAAGTTTGCGTTCTAGTTACTTTACATTTTGCTCTAATTGAAGTCATTTTAATTAGTATTTTACAACCCGGAGTTTTTAAGTTTACGAATTTTCGATCGGAAGTCGTTGCGTTGTTCAAAGCAAATTGAAATTTTAACATTTAATATTTTACACGTTTAACACATTCGATATTTTCAAATTAATTTATTATTAAATCTGTCAGAATAAAATTCCAATCCCGATATAATCGCACTGTAATTACTGTCAAGGCAAACGCTATATAATAATTTTTTTATATATATTTACAATCAATGTTTTTTAAGCTAAATAAATAGTCAAATCTATGAATGAGACGTTGTATGTATATTTCTATTTGTGTTTTTATGTTGAAACTCCTTGATAGTCTACTTCTTGCACCGAAATTACTTCGGCATCATCAAATTCTAACCTATCCAATTCCCAATATATTCTCCGTAACCCAAAGTCAACGATAGCCATACTCACTGTTATCCAACGTAACACCCAGAAAGGTAATTCTTGCAAAAATTCCTAAAGTAAAAAAACCGTAACGAAATTAACATAACAATTATAAGAATAAAAACTAAAAATGAAAGATTATCGTACTTGAGTTGACGCAACACGAAACGCCGAAATGTTATAATGAAACCAGAAACAAGCAACGAATAAGCTCGTATAAATCAACACCACTTGTTTTATCTTTCGTCGCGGATTCTCAGTAACCATCATATCGTAGACATCGCTCATCATCGCATACGCGGTGAAAACATTATTCAGCGACCCGAGAAAGAAAAGACCAAGATGAAGATGATGAACTTCCGGCTTACAGAGAAAATCGAACCAGAATTGTGCAGTCATTATCTGCGGGAAGAGTAGATAGTCCGAAACAACAACTGGATAAAATGAATTGATGACAGGGAAATTTTTGTCATTGAATTCCTTTATTTTTTGTTGTTTGTTTGTTATGATTTTTTCTCGTTCTTTTGTTTGTTCATGTTCTGTTGTTGATGACAGTGAATTGGTACCTTGTTCTTGTAATTGCGGTTTTAGAGAACGACGATTACAAATAGGAGGATAGAAAGGATGGTTTGGTGTTGCGGCAGAAGTCGTCGTCGGAGTGAATAATATTGTTGAGTCTTCTAAAGAAGAGGTGGGGGTGGTGGTCGTGGTCGTGGTCGAGTTCTTTGTTGTCGGATTAATTCCTTTTATATACATCGGCGATGTGATCAACATCGATAATTTCATCAAATAGCCACATGGAAGCAATAAAATAAGTATCAAAAAAAAAGTAATAGCTATTCGAGCTCCTTTTAATTCATAAATTGTTGATTAAGATTACGCATTTATTCGGTTGTAATCGGAACAAACTATGTATGTATCAATTGATTTACCTTTAGTTCCCAATATACAGCCCCAATTGGTTTTCCGTTTAAACACATATTTAAATTTACATATTGTACACGAGTCAATTTCCTCTTCCCTTCCATTCGCCACAAGTCTATACCGCCATTGCGCTAGACAAGTCGTGTGAACATACTTTACCGTGCCTGGTTTTTTGTTGTCCAATAAGAACACACCAGAATTTGAACGCGAGAACAGTCAGGTTTTGTCTCTTTTGTAAAAGACGTTTTCAATCAATTTCAATCAAGTTGTCGAGAATAATCGACGATATCTTCAAATACCTCTACAAATACAGGGAGCAATGAGCTCTTTTGGGTTGTCACTACTTAGGCATATTCTACACACGTTTTCAATCGGACGTCCAGTTTTCAGAGACATCTTTATAATGGTTTACTATGGCTGTCAATTGCGAGTGTGAAAGAAAAGATGTAAAGTGACAAAATAAATTCGCATAAATTCGATAAATTTGCAAGAATAATTGTATCGTGGCTTTGTCGACTATGCATATCATGACTTTTTATCTGATTTAGGAGCATTATCTGGTGTAAGGATCGACAGGGATGAGGGTGTAACACATAAATAGGGGATCAATCCAATTTTAGATAATGTAGAACGTGTCCCCACAACATAAATTTAGGAAGATTATTGCATTTGTAGAATAGCGATAGGTTTTTAATGAATTTCCTCCCGTTTGATATACTTCGTTAATGTGACACTGGTTATTATGACATTTGCATTAGTATAACGATAGCCATTAAAATGACCCGTTAGTATGACATGTGAGACTACAAGTAAAGTTTTATGACCAAGAAAGGTATATTTGTAATTGAGTTGATTTGTACCCTGGGTACGTTGTATGGAGAAGTAACGTGGCGCAATAATTTTGGCCTAAATTACACTAATATTCAGCCTGAATTTAAAAGAGGATCTAATCAACGAGATCGATTATAGGAATATCTGTTTCTAAGTTCCCTTATAAAAACTTCAAATACATATATGTTAATCACTAGATAAATAATATATATTTGTTTTTGTATACTAATAATTCTTTATTATTAATATACATGTATGTAAAGAGAACCTTAACCAGAATTTATCTAAGAATAATGAATTCTTATATAAATTCAAACCAAGTAAAAACTCAATTTAATTGTTTTATAAAGTAAATTTTTGAAATATAACAGCTATTAAATCATTTTTGTTTCAAAATTGATCCAAACAAAGCATTATTATTGGTATTTAATAAAAAAAACATGAAATAAACAAGATTTAATTTTTGTTTTGAAAATAAGATTATTTAGTTTATATATAATAATATTGTTATTTCAATTTTTTGATTGATCTTTTATATAATAGAAGATTTTTAATGAAATATAAAGAATTTGTTTTAAGATAAATTATTTTAATTGAAGAATTTATATATAATAAAATTTATAAATTCAAGATAATTTTATTAATAATATTTTTTTATTGTTATATTTTTTTATTATTATACTTTTAGTATTGTTATCTTTATTAATAAATTATACAAATATATAATACAAAAATAATAAAATATTAAACTATTTCAAGTTTTTTATATTAAAATTCAAAAAATACTAGTAATAATATCAATATCAACAAATATTAAAAATAAAAAAGTAAAAACAATAAAAAATTAAATAAAAAAATAAAAAATAAACAAAAACATCAAATAAGAAAAATAAATTTATTAGAAAATAATACTAATAATAATTATAATAATAATCAAAATAGAAACTGGATAATAAATAACAATAGTGATAAAAAAGAAATAAAAGAAATAACTTATTATATTATTAATAAAACACATAATTAGAGCTATAAATAGAAAAAAATATATAATTATAAAATTACATTTATAATAAAATAAAATTTAATAATATAAAATTATATGAATTAATTAAATTTATAAATTAGTAATAATATTATAGAAATTGTAAAATGGACATAATTATATAAAAATAAGTATAATATTTAATTTGCATTATAATAATATAACTTTTATAAATTTATAATTACTAATCTAATAAAAATATATATATATATATACATTCCTATACTATATTACCAGAAATTGAAAAAAAATATAGTAAAATATAGTAAAATTGACATTATTTCTTTATATTAAAATTTATTATTTTATTAATAAATATTTTTTATTTTTATATTAAAATAAAAATGATAACCTATATATTTTTCTAGAATATTTTAGAATTTTCTGTTTACTTGTAAACATGAAAAAAAATTTTTTATAATTAAAATTGAAAAAATTGTAATTTTAATAATTTTAATTATAAAAAAACTTTTTTTTATGTTTACAAGTAAACAAAAAATTCTAAAAAATTCTAGAATATTCTAGAAAAATATATATCAAAAATATAGGTTATTATCTTTATTTTAGTATAAAAATAAAAAATATTTATTAATAAAATAATAAATTTTAATATAAAGAAACAATGTCAATTTTACTATGTTTTACTATTTTTTTTCAATTTCTGGTAATATAGTGTAGGGGTGTGTATAGTAAATTTGAAAAATTAGTTAATATATAATAATAATAGTAATTTTTTACTTTTTAAATATATAAATTTCTATTTATAATAACAATTAAAATATTAAAATTACTTTAATATACACAGTCAGTAACTTCGATAAATCGGAGTGGTCGGTCAATTAGTGCTAAAATTCCTAAAATCCTGTTTATCGAGATTTAATTAAGGAGTCCGGGTGAAATTTATATAGACTGTTTTACATTTTAATTCTTTAATTAGTCTCAGCTTTATAGAGAGTCCGACTTATCGAGATTCACTGTGTATACATATGTTTTTCTAATTGCAAAGTACACTACCCCTAAATTATTAATAAAATATGAAAGTTTAATATAATGTCAGCACAGAAAGTAATGGCAGACGTGTTTTTTATTATATTTTAATTAGGGAGTTTTCAAAATTCGTGAAAATTTGTAAATAAATGTTTTAAGATATTAAGAAATAAGATTTATTAATATCATAAAGCAACATTATTTTGCGAATTTTGTGTCGAATTATAATTTTTTACAATTAAGATGAAATAAAAATTATTTAAAAATATTTTTAATAAGAAAGAATTTTATGAAAATATAGTTTGTGATATAAAGAATATATTTATAATTTTTTTAGTTCATTTTTATTTAATAAATGTCATTCAAAAAAGATTATTTTGATAAATTTTTTAATAAAACATAGCAAAAATATCATTTTACTATATTTTATTATATTTTATTAAACAATCCATTAAAATAAAGCCTTTTTTGAATGATATTAAATAAAAATGAACTGAAAAAATTATAATATATTCTTTATATCTCAAAATATATTTTCATAAAATTCTTATCAAAATTTCTTATTAAAAATATTTTTATTCATCTTAATTGTTAAAAATTATAATTCATCATATTTGACACAAAATTCTGCAAAATATTATTATACTAGTGTGCTTTATAATATAGTTATGACCAAATATCTGATTTTCTTTCCAACTTTCTATAAATTATGTGTAATACACCAAATTTTTTCAAGTATAAAGAATATTACAAATGCTAATCATTGATATTTTTTATAAATTGATAGAGTTTTTATATTAAATATTGTATATTCATATACTTCATGTTCAATATAATAAATTAGTCACTTTAAGACATAATATTTCAATATTTAGTAATTAAATTTAAGTAAAAATATCACTATTTAATTTATTTAAATTAAACAAATTGAATAATGATATTTTTACTTAAATTTAATCACTAGATATTGAGATATTATATTCTAAAATGATTAATTCATATTTGAAGATTAATTTTTTATTAGAAATAATTACTAAAAAATGAATCAGTTAATTTAGAATATACATATTCCTATAGTATATTACCAGAAATTTCATAAATGAATTTGTCATTTTGAAATTCAATATCTCAATATCCAGTAATCTTATTCAAACAAAAATATTTATCTTGACTATACAAATCTAATAATGATATCTTTGTTCAAACAGAATTACTGGATATCAAGATATTATATACAAAAATAACAAATTCATTTTTGAAATTTCTGATAATATACTATAGGAATATGTATATACAGTAACTATTATAAATAAAGAAAAAAATAAAATCAGTCAAATTAAAATATTTTGTGTAAATTTAAAGATATTCTCTTTTTTTGATAGTTTTTTTTGTTAATAATATCATTTTTATATATTAAAATCTTAGTAATCATTATTATATCCAATCCCAGAATAAATATGTGAGTAGTATAAAATATATATTATATTATATATAATTATTTAATGCAAAAATCAAATAGTTATTGTTATACTATATAAATATTATATAAAAGAAAAATTTATTGCATATTATTTATATATTTTATCATGTTACAAAAAAGTTAAGGTAAAAATGTCTATATAATTCTAGAAGAAAAAGCTCAAATTCACCTTTCTCTTTAAAATGGAATACTACAAGACAAATAACAAAGTCAAAAAATATTGATCTCTCAATAATTTTCCATATTAATAAAAGATACTCTCTTAAAGATATAGCAAAACTAAATTGATTACACACTATAAGTAAACCAATAAAAAATCAGCAATCTTATTACCTTATATAGATATTCATCCATTGTCAAAAGCTCAAAATATTTATGATATAATGATGATATTAATATTTCAATATCTACTATTTATCAAATACTTTAGGACAATGAAATAGTAGCAAAAATCTAAAAAAAAAATTTTATCTAAACAAAGAATATTAAAAATATCTGTTGGAATTTGCATGAAAGTATGAAAATTAGATTATCAGAAACTGATTAAAAATAATATGATCAGGTGAGTTAAATTTTACGTTTTTGAGTCTGATGCCAAGCAGTATTAGTGAAAATATCCAAATGAACTATTAAATCACTTTTATATTATTTTTACTGTGAAATTTAGAAAGATAATTGGTAATAATATGAGTTTCTTTGAATTTTATGATGTTAGTAACTTTTGTAAAATTGATAAGATAATGAATATCAAATTATATTGACAAATATTTTGTTAAAATTTTATATATACAATCAAAAAATATAAGTTTGCTATTAAATAGATCATTTTTCAATAGGGTAACAATTCTGAATCTATGATCAAATTGACAAAACAACAGTTTAGGAATAATAAGACAAAGATATTGTATTGGTTTTCAAATTTTGAATTTAAACTCTATTGAATACTTGTAAAATGAGATCAATTATTGTTTTCAGTATCTCTCTGAATAAATTTTGAACAAAAATAACCTATAGAATAAGTTTAATAGGTTTGGCTAAAAATTGATTTTAAAACTTGCACTAACCTAATTCACTCTATGCTAAAAAAAGAGTTTGTGATATTATTAAGATATGAGATGATTATACAAAGTGATAGAGGTAGAATCTTATCTATATTAATAAAACAAAAAAAATTTAATGTAAAAAATGTGATTTAATATATTGTATTTACATTGTGTTAAAAAAGAATATAAATAATGCAATAGATCAAATTGAATAAAGATAATATTTATGAAGTATTTGATTTATGAATTCATGTTTAATTTTTGATATCTAAAAATAACACTATTAATGAATAAAAAGCATAAAAAAAGAATATTTTCCAAATTGTGCAAAATATTTTAATTTAACAAATTGTAATTTTTTGTTGTATTATTTATGATCATCACTATAATATTTTGATCTTTAGTAATTTAATTTATATTAATATTAACTAAAAAAATTAAATATTATTTTTGTTCGAATCAAATTATTTGTAATATTAAAAAATGAAGTTGTTACTTTAAAATGTAATATTGCAACATCTAGTAATTTAATTTGAATAAAAATATTACTATTCAATTTATCTCGACTAGATAAATTGAATAATGATATTTTTTTTGTTTAAATCAGTCACTGGATATCAAGAATTAGATTATTGAATATTGAGATGTGTATTATAAAATAACTGATTGTATTTGTGACATGAAAATTTATGAATATCCAATATTTGATATAGAAAATCTATTAAACTATAAAAAATATCAATGATTAATATTTGTAATGTGGTGTATTATATATAATTTATGGAAAGTTAAAAGGGATCAGATACTTTTGGTCATGATTATATTAATACATCTTGTTTCCAATATTCTAAAGCATTTATCTACAAATTTTTATGACTTTTGAAAATTTTCTAATTAAAATATAAGCAAAAAACATGTCTGTTATTACTTTTCGTGCTGACTATATAGTGAAATTTCAATAAATTCAGAGGTTGTCGAGATACTTTTTTCAGTTGATAAATTTTATATTGGTTAACTATAAAAAATTAATCAATTTACTGTGCAGTTAGAGAAATTTTCTCAGATTAAATCTAAAAACTATATATATTAAACTATGAATTTTTTATTTTTATTTTAATATATAAATAAAAATAAAAGATATTCACTAGTAAATTGAAAACTTCTAAAAAGTGTCACAAACCAGGGAAACCTCCAATAAATACAAAAATTATGGCAAAACATAGAAGTTTATCTAATAGTTTGGCAAGATCCGGAGTGCGTTAAACATAACTTTTTTCTATCTGTGAGTGCAAATAAATATTGTCTGAAAATTTATGCATTTATGAAAGCTGTCACACGATTATTTGATGGTAACTTATACGCGACCAAACAAAATAGAAGGCTAATGAACCTTTTCAATCAGAACATCACCAAATGTGATCGCAAAAATTACGTTTTTGATACACCAGAGGTTATTTTTTTAATGCACTTGAATGCATTCCTAATTTAGGTTACTTTTTGATTCATGTCGCATATAGTATAAAATGATGATTAGGACTAGAGTTAGGTTAATATTAGAGTTGTGATTAGGATTATATGTAAAATTGCCTTCCCGACATTTTTCATTAGCTTTAGGTTATGTAAAATTGTATTTCCGACAAATTTAGTAGATTTAGGCTTAAAAAACGTGACTATGCTTCGACATGTGGGCTAAGTGCAATAGAAACAGTGTAAATTATATTGTAAATTATATTGCAAATCCTAATACAATTTACACCGTTTCTTAAATTAGGGGTACATTCAAGTGCATCTACAAAGTAACTATCAAAAACTTTTGCCTCAACAGCAGTCAAAATTGTGTGACATTGTATGCAGCAACAATTGCGTAACACGAAATCAAAAAAAAATTACATGATAAGACTTATTAAAAATAAATAAAATCTCGGACGTACACGATATGTTGTAGTTATGTTTTTATGAAATTTTAAGTTCATACAGAGTTTGCCAATAATAGTTGCAGTTTTATTACCTTCATTTGTAAGCACAGTGGCGGACACTACCATTTTTCATACACAAGAGAAGTTGGTACAAGAAAATAGCATTAGTAATTTGACCCAGCTACAATTTGGCAAAAAGTATTTTTTGTTTCATGAATTATAGTCCTTTAAATCCACCCGAATGGATGCGGCTTGCTTCCTCACTGTAGTCGTGTTTATTTTTATGAAACTTTTGAATCTATACAGTATTTGCAATCAGCTTGTCTTTGTTCCTTAAATAAGTACCATTTACAAAATCTGAGAACATGTTATCTGCATCTTCTATTTTTAGTAAAATAAATTAATTAATTCGATATGCATGTTTATTATTGTTATCCGCAGTCATAATAAGATTAATATTTCCGAACATGCAGGTGCAATTAATAAACAGGTTAATGAATCAATAACGATCATCACTTTATTTCGCATTTAGAATGCCCTAACTAGATTTGGTGAGTTCTTAAGTAGAACATGAAACGTTATAAAATCCCAAAGTTTACGCGTCAAGAAAAGAATATTTCAGTTGAAAACATTCATTTGAAAAACTCCACTTAATTTTTATTTTTTGCAATAATGGATCAGAATAATGAACAAAAAAAGAAACGTCAAAAACCAATAATACGCTTAATAAAAAAATTTTTCGTTGATATAGTACCAGAGCGTAAAACAGAGCCATCGTTTTTTCGCTACATAAAATTTTTTTTTATCTATCTAGTTTATCTTGGTACTCTGGCCTATCTAGTTTATTTAATAATTCAATCGGTGCAAGAGATTCCACATCTCACAACACTTGTTAAACCAGAGGAGAGCATACCTGCTCCAGGTGCTGATTTCATTTAAACGTAAAATTTTTAATAAAAATAATCGAAATTTTTATTCATGTGGCTTGAACTTCCTAGTATTCTCTCTTAATGGAGCTTTTAATTTCACTGTGACGTGTAACTTTTTAAATAATGGTAATTAGATGTATAATTCAATTTTAGTAGATATGCTTTACTAGACAAAATAAACTCATTGATTTCTTTTTATTTAAGGATATGAGATTATAAATTCTAACGATGGGAAAAAATGCGTGGACTTTCTAAAGGAGGCATCTATAGACGGATCTAACGATACAATGCATTATTTTGATAATACCTATATCAAAAACGTGCCAGAAATATCATTAAGTTATGGTTCTATTTACGGTATTGAGCTACAAATACAACTTCAATCGAATGTTAGCACAGAGTATCTTCAATCGCTAGACAATCAACCAGTTTGGTCATACTCCGGAATATATATCAGCTTATATGATGCGTGTAGGTTTTTTTCAATTTTTTTTTAACTTTTTTAAGAAAATACATATACTAATAATTTTCTCTTTATTAGCCTATGATAAAACAGATTTTTCGAGAAAAAAAGGAAATACAAGCGAGGTTTATGAAGAAGCACTCAGCTCTAATACATATTTAATTCCTCAAAATCAGGTAATTTATTCTATGTTTTTCTTATTTTAAATACAATATTAACATTTGATTTTGTTGCTTATTTTAGCGAAGTATTATCCGTTATAACAGAGTGATTAATAAAGACCTTGATGGTCATTCAATCAGAAACCACCTTGGTGCGGCATCAAAGCAGAACGAATATATGAGTATAAATACTAAAATACGTATGTATCTACTGTATTTTTACTTGTTGATCTATAAAATGAATTTTTTATTCAACCTCACATTTTTCAATATTTAGAATCCGTTAGTCCATTCGACGCGTCATCGTTTAAATACTACGCTACTCTGGAAATATATTACGACCATCGACTTGTAACTGAAAATGAGCAAGTCAGGTAAATAGAATCATTCGAGTTAAATTTA